AACAACAGGTGTTTAAGTGTTCTTTACCTTAAAAGAAGAATTTTTCTTGTCATGGGAAGGTAAGTGCCATAGTATTCTTAAGTATTACATGCTGTAGTGTCTTTAAAAACGATGACTGAAAAGCTCGTAGGATGAGAACTTACTAACACACCTCTCCAGACTGTTTGTGAAGACTTAAGTGTATCTTCCCCTTCCCTTTCATGGTGAATCTGTCTCTCCACAGGTATCCAGTGTAACACAGTTACCAAAAAATCTTCATGCCTTTTAAAATTTAATTCTGACTAAACTGTGTTATATACCAAATCTTTTATGGTAGTGAGAGGAGGTTGGTGCAGAGAAAAAAAAGGCCATTCAGTAGAGGAAAAAAGTCTGAAAAGAGATGGGGTTTTTTGTAAAATCCTGGTGAAGGATCTAGAGGGAGGGGTAAGTAGCAAATTTGGTTAATTGGTAGAGATACTGATAGCAGCAAACAGCCATAGAGGAAACATTTGAGCTGCATTTTTGCAGGCTTTATATTCTAGAGAAGGAAGGTAATATGCTATCATTATATTCCACTAGCATATCTCCCCAGCATTATCAACTTTTTCTGGAATCCACAAAACACAGTCTTAATAATTGACAAAGCAGACTGTGGTGAAGCCACGCATGATAGAAAATTTAGCAGCTTGAGGAAGATCAAGACTTAGGACAACTTGATAAAGGGGCAAAAAGGAACTCAGAAATCCTAAGGTCTTTGAGAATTGGAGGATTTTAAACAGATGAAACAAAGCTGTACATGGAAGTAGAAGTAGGATTAGCTCAACTTAGTTCAGAGCTCAGCAGTGAGGGAAAGGAGAACGTGATGAGCTCTTTTGCAGAATGGTCTTTGGAAGCAATACTGAACTTGTGGGGGGAAATACCTTTTCTCTTGGTAATTAATTTTGCCACTGGCAAGGTAGGAATTCAGAGCTAAATTTTTTTTCCATCTCTAATGTGTCAATTTCAAATTCCTTAGTACTACTTAGCTAATATGTAGTAAATATGTACCATTTCATCCTGTTGGTGACAATGAAGACCAGTCCCCAAATACAGCAGTTGATTTCGTGTGAAATGTGCTTAACATTGGGTAGACTCAAAACTTTGGAAAACTCTAGGATTGTGTATATTGGACAACTGGTTCAAAGCTTGGGTTTTCTTCATGCATGTGTCTAGTGAGTAGTTTCTTCAAAGAAACTACTCCATTCACCTTGCTTTCCCACTCTTCTGAAGGATTGTAGATAATTGTACTGGGGACAGTGCAGGAATCCATGGGACAAAAAAAGTCATAAAGCTGAATGCTGCCTTCTTGTACTGCCAATCCCTCAGGTGAGGGAGATGAAAGAAAGACAATCTTTTTGCCTGTTTTTTTCTTTTCTTTTTTTTTTCTAAAGGAAAGTCTATCCAGCTTGTTGAATATCATTCTGTTACAGAGGAGATGATAGTTTATTCATGTGTGACACAAATCTTCCACTTGGCTAAACATAAAACATTCAAACCATGACCCTGTATGCATCTTTTTATTTGCCAGAGATTCATAATCTGTTGCAGCTCAGAAGTCAAACTCTCAAGCAATCCACATCTGAAAACCTTGATGATCCAAATGATAAAACCTTGTTGCTGCAGTAACAGTAATTCAAGTCTCCCCTGTGCGTACATTTGCCACAGCAGATAAAATATAACCCCTGATTAATGTGGCCAGCTTTGTGAAGTAGTTGCAACTTTAACAATTGGAATTTCCATTACTTGTTTCCTTCTACCTTAATTTAGCATTGACACTAGTGGCTTTTATTTCATTCACCTAATGTCTGTGTACTCCTAAGCATGCAGTTGTGGCTGTCCCAAAGTCAGTTCACTGTAATACGCACAGCATGGTCTCCTAGCACGAGTGAATTGTTTCCGCTGGCGTAACATCTCTGCTGGACTTGTGGAAGGACAGCTCTGCTCGTGCTCAGAGGCATTTGCTGGAGGTAGTGACACTCTTCTCTGCCTGGTACCCATCCAGCTTCTTCACAAATGTTCCCATCAGTCATCTAGGAATAGCTTGGGCAGGGAGGGGGGGGTGCCTGGGGAGCTCTGGACAATCCTCTGATTTGATATGTGTAGAGAAAATGTCACCCTGCTCCTGGAATATGTTTTTTGTTTAAATGTCACTCCTTACATCAGTGACCTCATCTGACTCAGCACAGCTTCTCTCTGAAGGGAGGGAGCTTTAAGCAAGTCATAGATTTTGACATAACCAGAGAATGTAGGGAAGAAGGCACACCATGAGAAACAAAATACTATTATCTGAGCAAACAAATATTATTTTTGAAACAGAGTAGCAGGAAATTATGTAAAGCAACTTAAAACTCAATCTGAATATCACAAGTGTCTGAAAAACAAGGCAATTGCCACTTCTGTACACACAGTTTATTTCAGCCTCCGGTATCCCAGAAGGTTTTGCTGAGGTTTGTTCTGGTAGCTGTAGTGACACTGTAGCTGCTGCACTGTCTCACCTTTGAAAACAGGGCAGGGCTGAAACAGCCATCTGGATGGATCACCAGCTTTCTTATTTAAAGGCTGATTGTACTGAGTCTGTAGAAGGTGAGACCTGTGCTAAGGGTGTCCTGAACAAATGGAGCTGTGACTACAGTATGAGCTTCTGCAGCATTTAAACTTCATTATTAGGAGCAGAGCTTTCTTCAGGCAAGCAGCAGGGATACAGACACAGGAGAGAGGCTTGGAGAGAGAAAACTCTGGAATAGTCTTTCTCCAAATTGCACCTGGTAGGGATAGTGCAGGCACATGAAAGAGCTGTGGTCCCAATGCATTGAAGGGAAATGTTGGTCGGGACGCTGGCATGTCCTCTACACTTTCCTTTTAAAAATGCCAGGCTATGCTGAACATTCGGCAGACATGGACAGAAACCAAAGGAGTAGGAACAAGTGACCTTAGTTTAACATTTCATTCAAATGACGGAGCCCCAAATGCGATGCCCGCTCTGGTTTCTTAGCTCACTGCTCAGCCTGAAGGATCTCTCAGATCCTTTCTGATGTCCTGATAAGCAAATGGCATGTTATAGATGTGAAAGTAGGACAGAAGCTGTTTGGAGAAGGACATAGTGTCTGATTAAACAACATCTCTGTTTTTTACTTCTTAGCTCTGTTCAGGTTTCTGTGTGGTTTTATTCTGTTCTGGGTTTTACTTCCTCCCCTTTTCTGTTATTTACACTAATGACTGAAGATGTAGGTATGGAAAGGTAACATGCACAGAATTCACAGTCCATAAAACTGTGGTCTTTCTTCTAATATGTATGTGATACTGTCTTTAGTAGTGAAGCAGTGACTTGTTACGTTAATCTTACTCCTGGTTTTATTCTGTTCTCCTGAACTCTTGAAATGGAGCCAAGAAAGGGCACTTAAAACAGCAGTGAATTCCTAGGAAAAGTAAAAGGAAAAGTACAATGAGTAGCTATACACAAACTTTTGTGTATGCATATGGCTTTCTTAAAAAAAAAATAAAAATCAGTACTAGATAAACTGGCAGGCCAGGAAACTCTGCCATTTTAAGTCCAACAAGTCAGTTTTGCCTCTTAAAGTAATCATTCAAGCATCAGTGGTTCTGGACTCACAGAGGACAGGTTATAAATACTCTTAATGTAAATGTACCTTCAAGGTATTTGTGAGACATCAAAACCCTGCTTTATTCTCAAGCTGTATCTTGCTATTTGCTTTCATTTTAGTTGAGGCCAGTTCCACTGGCTTAGCGTAACTTTTATTTAAATCTGTGTGAATTGCTGTGGTTTAATGTGGACCACTGGCTAAAGGGTTACATGGTTTAGTCTAGTGCCTAAGCAGAGATTAATTATTCCCTTGTACAAATGGCTTTTCTGGCACTGTGAATGCTAGACAAAAACTTTTATTGCTTTATGGTTTTGAAAAATTATTGACCATCTCCTTAGACAAAGACTGAGTTCCTGGTAGTGTTTGCTCTCCACTGTTTTGTCATCAGGTATTTACCATGTTTTAAGGTAGGTGTATTGGCAGGGTGACCCATTATCAATGTTCAAGCTGGGCTGCTTCTCTCTAGTGCATTGTGTGGGTTTGCTTGTCTTTCTGATTATCAGAGTAGAACCTGTGGGGACTTTTTCCCCCTTTCTCTAATATAATGGCAATTTCTTTCTAACCAGAGGATGAAGGAGTATAAATGCTGCAAGGGTACAGAAGAGGGGTTCTGGAGGTCCTGCACAAATCTATCCAGCACTTGAAATGAGCAAGGGTTATAGTTTTATGGAACTCCTAAGAACTGCAATGTAAACTATGAAAAACTTGGGGAATTAATTAAGGAAGCAGTTAGCTAAGTATTTTTATTCTTAGCCTTTCATTCAAGCATCACACCTTTAGAATACTTGTATTGCAATGATGAAACAGGTATGTCGTGAAACCATGCTTTTGTCACAGAACATAATGCTGTTTAGGACTATCATATGATACATCTTTCTGCATTCAGAAAGAATAAATGCTAATTTTTCCTAAGGAAAGCAAGGGCTGTGGAACCAAGAGCCAAACATGAAGTTGTGGGATTTTTTTTTTCTTAATTTATTTTTAAATTTATTTTCTTGGTGGTGCTAAATACATGTAGTATATACTTTTTCAGTTTAAAAAAGCATTGCAAAGTAAGGAAAACACTTCCTTTGTGCATTTCCTGCTACATGTGGAAAGACCTATGTAGAAAGGACTTGTATTATTTGTCACAGTGCAAGATACCTATGTGCTGAAGCAGAATTTAAAAATGGCTTTGTAGTTGTTAACAGGTTAGTGAAGAGACATGGGTATTTGGGATTTTAGAATGGAATTTTGTTTGCTTGTTTTATTAAAACATGTGTTTTGTCCATAAAGTAACTGAGCAGCATGAGGGGCTCGAGGAGCCTAGAAAGATCTGTCCCCTTCCCTGGGGGCTATATTAGACCTCTGAGTCATGAAGTCTTTGCATAGTAGGTGTCTGGTTACAAACCTTTTATGGGCCCTACTCAGCTGGGATATCAGCATCTGCATTATAGCTCTCATCTATTCTTAGGTGGTATCAGAGCACGACTGAGCAGGCAAGGCAGAAAGAATTGCTTTCATTATGTAAAACCCTTCCCTGTTCTCAGTCTGTTTTTTCACACTTTTTTCTGTTTGCCCCATCCTTCTGTCCTGCAGTGCCCTGTTGCTGCCTTTGAAAGCGGTACAACATGGCTTACAGTGTGAATCTGAATGGACCTGGACCATGGGGCTTCCGACTGCAAGGGGGCAAGGACTTCAACATGCCCTTGACCATCTCCAGAGTAAGTGTGCAAAAAAACCTTGTTGAGCTTGTTTGGGTTGAAAAATAGCAGTCATATGTACACTTTGACCTGGCCTGGTAGAATTGAGGATCTTTGCACCTAGGTGTGAATAAAGAGAGTATAATGTGAACTATAAATGTACCAGTTCAGAGTACAAGCTGGCATTAATAATGCCCCAGGAAGACAGTTCTGGTTAGTATATTTTTATGGACGGTGATACTGTCTCTTTTAAGTGAGCTTCCAGTTCTGTTCTCTACAGTGATGTCTCTTTTTCTGCTGATAGAGGCCTCACTGGTGCAATCTTGGGGGGGAAGGGAGTAGAACAACTCCAAATGAATTATAGAATTATATTTCTAGAAAATAAACATGTAACTGTAAGTATGTGAAGTCAGGTGATAAAACTGAACAAAGACAGGGATGTGTCCCCTCTTGTGATGAGGTGCAATAGTTGGATAAAAATTAGACACATCAAGCAGAAGACTCAAGAGTACTTAAAATACTGTCTTAAATTATGCAGAAGCCTTCCATTTGCAGCTGACAAACAGCATGGATTTAATAATTAATTACCTGCTGTATCTGTCAATTACAGCCATATATTTCCTAGCTGCCTTTTTCTTTTCTCTTCCCCTTGAAGCATTATTTTAAGGTGTTGCAGATCAGTACTCTTATTACCTGAATTAGCTGTTTCTTAAATATTTTTAACATTGGAAGGTTTTCAGGAAATTTGTGTTTCCCTTACCCTCTTTTCTCTTATAGCTCGGTGTGATTTCTGGTAGCTCCCTTCTTTTTTTCTTGTTTCTTGACAGTCTCAAATCTGCTCCAGAATGTTCAGATCTTTCTAGAGAGGTCTTGGCTCCTCCACAAATCACCTGCAGAAGGCTTATTTTGCAGTTCAATGACGAGAGAGGTTACTTACATAACAGTAAGAGAAATATCAGAATGATTTAATCAGACAAACAAATATAATGCAAATAAAAGATCTGCTCCACTGCAAAAATCATAATAAGAAAGCCACCTACACTGCTTTTAAAACTATGGGTTTTTTCGTAATGAAAAAATACAGTCTGTTAAGTCGTGGGTACAAAATGTGTATCTCTGCAACAAATGTGATTCAAAGTCAGTTGGTAAGCTTCTGAAATCTTAGTTAGGCTATTTCATATTTATCCTGTGAAACTGTATCACCTGATCTCCCTTGTTCTTATGTACATTTTCCCTTTCTTGGAAGACAGAGCCACTTTTACCTTAATACTAAGGCCTATGATGATGCAACATACTTTTCATAACTCCTTTTGCAGCACAGTCATTATAAAGAAGGCTGTTCTGGCAGTATTATGAAAAGCAAACAAGCAAAAGACTACCTAAAATACCCCCTGTCTACAAAAATAAACTCCCTTCATAAACTCAGATTAATTTTGCTCCTGTAAATAGTCTTGGTATTTCTTTTTTCATCCCACCCAAGGTAAGTACAGAGAGGTGCCATCGTATTTTTGTAGGCATTCTCATGACACTTTACAGCCTGCACTGTATGGTGTTGATTATTTTCTTACAAGTCATTCAGTCATACCTAGAGTCTGTCAGCCATGGGCCAGGGCTGTAGCACTTGCACTGTATATGACACAATCAGTAATGAAAAGCCAATTGTTTCCCAAAAAGCTCATTGTCTCAGACTGCAGTCTGTGAAAGTGTAAACGCTGTGCCCCAAGGCTCTATGATTTTCATGGGCCTTTTGAGAGCATAGGAGGAGCAGAAGTGAAACTGCAACAGCTGAATTCCCAGAGGTGTGGAGGAATTAGCTCTTCACACAGCTGACTGCATTTTCAGCCATACCAGTGTCAGAAAGGACTGCTAAATGTTTTCTAACTCCTTCCCAGTGAGGCTCAGTTTTTAGCTGGGATTACAGCTTTGGGATGGGAATGGATTTTAGAGCCTACCTTATGAGGGCAGAAGCAGACATACAGGAATATAACATAGCATCTTTCTGGGGGAGCTGGGATAGTTATGCCTGCTGTTTGTGATGTTTTTAATTGGAACACATGACTTTTGATGCTAATCTGTTTTTTTCTTTATCATCTATCACATAAATATGTCTCCAGACAGATCAGAAATTACAGTCATAAGTGAGTCAACCTATGAACTCAGCCATAGTTGCAGTGTTATTGTGGTGTGAAAAGGAAAGCCGTACTTATATTTTTAAAATATTCCTGGTGGGAAGGAGGGGTGAAAAGATAACTGCGAGGAAGGTCTCCTTCTTGGAAAGGGCACACAACTCTAAATGTTGCTAGTGGGTGCTGTGTACCTAGTTATCCACATGTGATTTTGATCCACAGCTGCCCTGAGATGAGAGACTTTCTATGTGCAAGATGAGTCCTAATGAGTCCAAATACTTCAACGTAAACAGTATTATAATTGCTTTTAATATCAGATGTGCCGTGGCCCTTTTGGCTACAGTGTCCTTCTAAGCCTGCAGGCTGGGCTTGCCTGCAGACATGTTCATTGTGTTCTGACTGCCCCCAGTTAGTTAGACTGTCTGTGGGTGGGCCACAGGGAACAGAAGGATTCCTCCTTTTTCATGAAGGCTCTATGCTCTTCTGTCATGCTGCAAGAGCACTGCCTCAAAGCTCCTGAGAAAGACGATGGGAAGAGTCTAACACAGCAGGGTAGTTCATCCCATCTATAGTATTAGACCAACATGTTTCCAAGCACCCTCCCGAAAGAGGATACCAGTATTGTGCCATTATGAAGCTAGCCCATGCATAGACAAGACCTGTTGACCTGCACTCTTGTCAGCCAGCCCTATACAATTCCCACCCACCTCACACTTTACCTGGAGAGCAGGGGAGAAATCCTGAAGGTTTTTGAAACCTGCTGAGAAAAGCAAAATACAGGATTGTGGGGTTGCTAATGATTCTGTTCAGGAAAAATGCTCTTAACACAGTGGGTGAGGAAGGGAATTACACAGAGCTGTTTGGCGTAACAGTTCACTTTTAAAGAAGTCTTCAAAATGGTGTCTGAGACACTGTATTTTCTTCCATTAGGTAAGCCCAGGTGATCAGCTCATTGCTGAATAGTCAACATTATAATGCACAGGAGTCACAGTCAGTCAGCTGGGTGACAGGTGATGTGTTCTCCTGAAATGGATTGTTCTGCTTATCTGTTCTTTATCTAAAAATAAATGCTTGTCTAACATATGGGGTGGGAACAAGAAAACAGGAGACAAAAACAAGTAGGGAAGAGTTAAGGTCACTCTTCAGGTTTCACAGTGCTTTAACAATAGCATTGGGAAATCATCTGTAAACTATTTTTCCAGTCCCCACCCTGCAGACCATCCTACCCACTAGAAAAATTCTGTCATGAGATGTAGGAAAACAGTATTGACAGACTTAGTAAAGCTGAGCATCTGTCAGCCCTGCTGAAATGAATGAGACTTGCAGGTTGTTGGCAGTGCTAAGCGCTGTCACCAGTGGCATGATCATATACATAAATCTGGTATTTCCAAAGTGACGTGGGCAGAAAAGCTGTTTATTTTCCTCTAGTGCTTGAACTGTCTGGAAGCAAGCAGAATTCATTAATTTTATAGACTTAATCCTCTGTAAGAAGGCTTTTGGACATAGTTAATTATCTAAGTGCTCGGTTACCATGTTACCTAAGATGGTATGGTTGTACAATGTTGGGTGCAATAACAGAACATCTTCATATAATTCTGAGCCTTTATTTCTGAACAGTGAACGTTTCTAGTGAGACAGGCTTACTTGCAAGTGATGCAATGAGCTGAAAGGTGTGAAGGAGCTATTGTTATCTGAGGTAGCATAAATATTATCTAAATCACTGTGGTAGCTCATGACTGGTATATTCACTCTGTGGTTATTCATATAGTTTTGTATTTCGTAATAGGTTTTTTAGCAGCTTGGGTTCCAAATCAAAACCCAGAGCCTGAAACAGGAGATAGTGTTTAAACAAAACAAAAACATTCAAGAAATACTTTTCTTTATTCGATTAAGTGATGCAAAAGTTGAAATCTGGTCATGATGTAAGGCCAGGGAGGGAAAATAACAAACACTGCTACAAAAATAATTGAATTAGTTAGACTCTGCTACAAGCAGCCTGAAACCGCTTTTCCAGTCTGGGGAAAACCCAGGTCTAGCATTTTGCAGCCTGTCTCTGCAGGAGCCAGGAGGGTTTTTTCCTCACAGTTGTTAGGCTCTTTCTTTTTATCAGCATCTCTTGCTGATTGCTTCCTGTCCCTCCTCCACTCCCACGTATGCCATCCTCTGGCTGTCACTGCCTTTGCTTCAGAGGAGCTATGTGAGAGTATTCATTTCCTGTGGGCTATTGCATATCAGTGCCTTACAACAGACAACTGAGGAGGGAAGGCATTCCCTCCTCACTTTTTTCTTCTATTCTTGAATGTGGGGAAGCCTCAGATGATCTGGATCAGGCTCTTTGTGTTTTGCAGCTGTCCTTTCAATGGCCATGTGGTGCTGTACATAAACTATAATCAGAAAAATGCAGTTTACCTGTACTGACTGAACTGAAACAATTCAGCAAGTTCTCCTGAAGTGCTGGTACTGCATCACCTGTTAAGCATCCACCTCTGGTGAACGAGACTGCTGAGTAGCTGTCCTAAAGCTGCAAATGCAGCTTTGAGAGGGTTTTTTTTTAATCTCCAAATAAGCATTCATTCACAATACCAAAAGCTATAGATTAGTATTTATAATAATGGATATTCTACTAAACTAACAGATAAGTCTGGTGTCCTCTAGAAGTCTAAGAGTTGTCCTCTTTAACTATTACTCAGTAGAGATGTTTCCTTTTTCCTTGAATGTTCAAATGACTGAGTCAACTTCTGGAAGGGAAGCGTGCCATTTAATATAATGGCTTTCTTATGCCTAGACAAACTGTAGTAATTTCTTAGGCCTGAGCAGTTTCACATTCTTCTAGTCTTCTTACAGTTTAACTCAAAATAGTCCTTTGTGAGAGGAAAATTAAATATTTCCAGTCCAGCTTTTCAGAACACTCCAAAACTTTATTATCTATTTTTTTTTATAAAGCAACTATTCTATGGGCATCAGCATTTCTTTGGGATAATCTGTTTCATTTCTTGATTACTTCTTGAGTAACAGTCATCTCATCTGAAGTTACAACATTCTGAATCTTATTACCTACAGTTATTTGTTGTATATGCAAACAACATCAGTATCCTAGGAGAGTGCTAGTTATCTGAGGTGATATGTTTGCTTTCACACTAATTTGCAAACCAGTTCTGGTATGTTTACAACTCCATCAGAAATTATTGTGTTTCTGCGAGCCTGAGCCCTACAAGTAACTCATCAGCCTCCTGATTTGGTATTGTTTATTTGAGATGTTCCAGTAGACAGCATCTGTACTATAAATGGCAGTTCAGTGTACAGGGAATTTGTATGATAAGGTTGCATGTCTCATCAAACACAAGTGTCATGTCTATGTCAGACACAGATAGAGGGAGCAAATTCTATAGTTGCATTCCATTTGAATAATACTTGTTTGACCAGAGAAATGGCACCTGGGGATCAAAAAATCCCAGGATACTGAGGAAGCAGTTCAAGTCTCTGCTCTGAGTAAAACAGAACAGTCTTAAATGTGGCTGTGCAAGTGCTCTAAGAGGTAAGGCATTAATTATTCTGAGGTAGACAACATTTCCTGTCTTGACCAAAAATACAGAGGTCTGAGAAGTAATGGTTGTTTCACCAGAGCCTCTAACACTTTAAGAGAAGGTTTGATTTCAGCAAATACCCAATTTTGTATCCTAAGCAGTTCCAGCACAAGTTGGGTTCTTTTTCCCTTCTGGGTAAACAGTCATGATACAAGTAGGAAGCTTTTGTTTTCTTTCCTTGCAGAAAGCATTCTGAAAAATCCATGAAGTTTGTTGTTGCAACTTTAAACTCA